GGGATAACTTAACTACTCGATTCAATACAAAGTCGTAATCAAGTCAATCAGTAATATAATTGACATCAACATGAAGAAATAATGACATCCATTTTGAATCAGTGTAATTCGTAGTCAGGTTATTAGTTTGTACATAGAAATAAATGTAGTGTTCGTTTAGAACTCACTTTAACTTCGACAATATCATTTCAACCAGTACGAATGACATAGAGACCCAAATTTTCATATCCACGATAATCATATCATACGGGTATTAGCAGATCTATTTAAAAGCTTGATTGTACAAAGATCCAATCATCGAAAGTACCATCTATTGCAATTGAATTTGGCTTCATTGGAATCAGTAAACGAACTCCTTTATAACATCGACCATAGTTAATTATAACAATGCCAGAATTTACAATCGAAGATGCATGTTTGCGCAGAATATTATAAAAAAAAAGAAGCATAATGGCAAGAAAAAGAAGGCTACTTAAATTATTTAATTAATTCGGTAGCGCAGATAACATTGGCTACTCTTTTTTCAAATAGAACTATATAAAGTTTACCATTATAAAAAAATGCTCTGATACTCACTTTTTTTATTTAGTTAGAATTTGAAGAGTTTCTCTTTTTATTTTAATTAACTTTTATTTTAGGATGTCTTCTTATCTTAGACAAAAGTCTTTCTTTAGCAATATTACGTATATAGTCATTATATTTTTAATCTTATTATGCTAGAAAATATGAAGCTCAAATAAAATAATCGAATTACTTTCTATTGCATTTACAGAAATGTTTAATTTTTTTTCCTTCTCATCGTCTGAAATAATAAAATCAACAACGAATTTAATGTAAGATGAAATAGAATTAATTTGTGAAACACGATCTAAAAGAAGTGTTGAAACATATAGGGTAGAAATTCGCATCCGCCCCTCACAGACCATAACAAACGGCTCATCACAGTCATGACAGGCATCTTAGCAACACTTTGCCTCCCGCTCCCTTTCTGCACCATACACTGTGAGAGACATTGTTGATATACAATCAAAGACTGCATACCAATAACATCTCGTTATAATATGAGTTTCTTACTTATTGCATTTCTGAGGGTTATTAAGTGAAAAAGATGATGAAGAAATGTATCCCGAAATAGATACAGTAAAACAATCTTCCTAGTATTAGCATCAACATCGTGCTTCGCATTTTAATCCTGTAGAGATTCTGCTAATAACTTTTTTCGCCTCTATTTAATTTGAGAATTTAGAATTAATTTTGTATTTTAATCTGCAACTTGAATACAGTAGATTGGATGCGTTGTCCTTACTATGCTTAAAAATAAATCAAATGAGTGATGTTACGGTAATATTAATGTGTTTTCATTTAAAAGAAACTGTTTTCTGACTTTGATTCTCAATTGATACACCTTCATGCACTTTATCCACAATGAAAACTCGTCTCTATATTGTCAAGAGTACTCGAAAAAGTAAAATAACAAAAGCGACGAGCATCGAGGCATGTGAAGAAGAACCTATTATACAACAAGAGTGGCATAGAAGAAAAATTTATCAATACAGAACAACACTATTTCTATCAAATAGGTTTAGTATAGTAAGATATAGAAAGTAATTTATTTATTTGAGTAGTACGAGTAAAGAAAAAGGGTATAACATTTAAAATTAATTACAAGAGTGGATTGTATTTAGTTAATATAATATTACACTTGGTTCTTTTGTCAAAATACAAAGTACAATATAATAGTTTGCGTTATAAGTTATAGATGATCCATTTTAGTAGCAGTACATAGCAGAGATGAACTTGGTTCGTATTTTTTGAAAACTCCATTAGAGATAACTAAATCTATACCATTTATAATTCAATATGTTTTATTGTAATCCAAACAATTATCAACTAAATCCCTTTTTCTATATTAGAAGGTCCACACTGGAGAAGGAGAGATATCTTGAACATAATAGCAGAATCATTCTTAATTAATTAGTTTAGAGATTGTCACTTTAATCAATAATATATCGATTTTGCAGGATTCTCAGTTGAAAATCGAATTAAGATTGAAACTAAAATGATTTCGGCTTCTTTTTTATTTTGAAAAATATTTTCAAATCCGTCCAACTGTCCCAGAAAACTGAGATGTCTTAATAATAATTAGTACTTAACTAAGAAGAGTTTAATATAAGACTTCTTTGAAACATTTATTCACTTGGACATAATAGAACATTCAAAGTTTTCTATTATAGGAGAAAAATTATTAGATGCATTAAAATGAATGTTTTTTTTATAGTTTTGATGCCTTTTTTAATTTAATTAATCATCACATAAACGCCGTTTTTTCTTAGAGGATAAAATTAGTTTCTTTTTATTCTGTTGTTCTTTAACGGAGAAAGATAAGAAAGTATATAAATGCTTTCATTTCAGTTCATGACTTTTTTTTTAATTTACTTTTCTTGCTTTATATATTGAAATACTGATCTAAACAGCATTAATTTAGCAAAGAATCGAACTAAATCATGGTCATCTCTGATGTATAGTTAATATTCTGAAAAATTTCAAACAAAATTTTCATCAATGTTATTTTTAATGACTATATCGTCACCTCATTTATTTTATATATAGAATGTTATCTTCATCGGATATGAATTATACCAATTATTTAGACAATCTCTCATCTCATTTGAATCATTATCTATCGATTATAATACTTCTTTTTGGTACTGTTGGTAATCTTCTAAATTGTCTTGCTTTATCACAACGAACTCTACGTACTAATCCATGTGCTTTTCTCTTTTTGGCTTCATCTATTGCCAATATCATCACTTTAATTTCTGGTGTAACTGTTCGTTTATTAGCTAGTTGGTCAGCTGATCTAACAGATACAAATAGATGGCTTTGTAAATTTCGTATATTTATTTTATTTTCATCTAGAACAATAGCATCATGGTTAATCGTGTTAGCTACTTGTGATCGATGGCTTTCATCATCTATCAATATTCATCGTCGACAAATGAGTTCATTAAAAAATGCTCAACGAAGTATTATTGTTATTATATGTCTATCATGTCTTATATATATTCAAATATTTTATTGTTATGAAGCTAATTTAACTGATGCTCCACTTAAATGTTATGGAAAAACAACATGGTGTCGTTTATTAATTGATTTAGAATTCATTTTTATTAATATTTTAATATCTTCATTATTGATGTTTTTCTTTAGTTTTATGACAATTTTGAATGTACGTCATAATGTTCTACGTCGAATTCAATTTGTACCTACAAATATAATGATTCCAACAGCAACTATGAAAAAACATTCACAAAGATTGAAAAAAACTGAACATTATTTACTTTGGATGCTTTTCATTCAAGTTATTTTATTCATATTATTATCTTTACCACAAGCTATTCAAAGTCTTTATACAAATATTACTCGATTTCAAGTGAAATCTAAATTACAGAATACAACTAATAATTTTCTTTTTAATTTATTTCTTCTTTTGACTTATGTAAATAATGGAATACCATTTTATATTTATACATTAAGTGGCGGACCTATTTTTCGAAAAGCCTTAGTTCATTCAATAAGAGATTTTATTCGAATGATTACCCGTCAACGAAGATGATCTTCTATTGTAATAACTCGAAGTTTTTAACAATGAAAGAAAAAAAAACAAATAAACATGAAATGAATTTGTATTCGGTATTATTCAATAAAATTAATTTAACAAAAATTGTTTTAGATAAATTCTTAAAGAAACAAGATGTTTTTAATAACGATTTAACAGATTATTTATGAGTAGATTAGTCATGTACTGAATTCAGAATCTATCAAAAACTTGAACTGCAAAAAACCTATAAAACTTTTCCACTATCATATTGTAAGAATAAAAATTCATTAGAGATGCATAATTATATTTCACCATAAAATATTGCAACATTTTTTTTACGATGATTTATCCTGCGGGGAAAAATTCGGTCAACCGATGAGGGAATGTTTTCAAGCACTAAATAGCACTTGAGCCGGGACTATGTGCATTGTGTACATCCTGATGAGATATGAATATGTCGAAAAAAGTACGCTTTATGAGCTTATTGCAGTCGAGATATTGAATTTGTACAATTTTTTTAAAGCACAATGTTATGACCCTCTTCTGAAATGCTAGGAAAACTGTATTTTGAATTTCGACTTGATACTTTGCATAGAAGCAACCATTAACAAGAATAATTTATTGTGAAAGCTTTAAATATTTTACTTTTCCTATCTTAAGATACAGCAATGGTAAAAGCACGTTTTTTTATATTGCCTATGTAGTATATCGACAGATTCCGATGTTCTTATTAAAGAATAGGAGCAGTCAAAAAAATGTGAAACTTTCTCAATAAACTGGTCTCACTAAAGCTTGTTTCTATGTACAGTATCAAGTCGAAATTTGAAGCTAACTTTTCCTAATACTCCTGAGGAGGATCGTGACATTGTGTTAAAAGATATCTGTAAAAATGAAGTATCTCGGCAACGATAAGTTAATAGATCGAACTTTTTTCAATGTATTCATAATTTATTAGGACCTGTACAATGCATATTATCCTGAGTCAATAGTAGTTTAACTCTTGGAAACATTTCCTCGTGAGTTCTTAGACTTAATTAGAATCATTTCAAACATCTTTAGCATTTTTCATACTCTAGATGTGCCAGTGCCAAAGGGGGAAAAAAGCGAAAATTTCGTGCTCCAAGAGTTTGTGTCAAAGGTATCCTCTGAAGTTTCAATAAAGCCTAAATATTTCATTGTACTTCACTGATACTTAAATTTTGCAGTTCGATGAAGTATTTAGGTTTTATTGAAACTTCAGAGAATACCTTTGCAATACCCTTGGAGTATGCTGAAATACGAAATTTTCGTAATTTTCTTCTTGATTAGTACACATATGTTTCTAATACATATTTTTCATTTTATTAAATAATTATTTATTCAAAACAATAAATGAATAATCACAATGTCTTTTCTCATAAAATATTATAATTGTTCACTGTAAACTAAAGAAATGAATACCAATCCACACAGAAAAGCCATTATAATCTATTAGATGACGAAGTTTAAGATTAATCTTAAGTGATTTATATATGTTTAGCAGCTGCTTTATCAAGATACCAAACAAGATTATTAATTTGAGCAATTGGATAAGTTTTATTTTTTTCTCGTAATATTTCTTTGATAATAGCTGATTTACTTTCACCAGTTATAACAACAATCTTATATTTTGCTTGATTTATTGTATTCAATGTTAATGTAACACGTTCAGCTGGTGGTTTAGGTGAATCTTTTACGAAAGTAACAAGTCCTTCATTTATATTCAGAACTGAATGATTTGGAAAAAGACTTGCAGTATGTCCATCAGGTCCCATACCGAGAAGAACAATATCAAATGACTAAATATACATCAAAAATTTTATTTTTAAATTAAATTTTAACAAAAAAAAACATTTAACCTTATCTTCATCAGGAAATGCTTCTTGTAATTTATTTTGATAATCTTTTGCACATTCTTCAACAGTCGATAATGTTGGATCTATTTTAATAATATTTTTCTCAGTAAGTGGTAATTGTCGAAATAATTTTGATTGATAATTTCCATAGGTTGAATCATCGGATGTAAATGGAACAAATCTTTCATCAACAAAAAAAAATCTTAAACGAGCCCAAGGTAATTGTAAACGAGGTAACATAGATGCAAGTAAATCAATTAGTGAACCACCTGATAAACCAATTGTTATTATTTGCTTTTTATTCAATTTAAGTAATATTAATTCTTCAAGACGATAACCAAGCATTTCAGCTAATGAATCATTATCATCCGCAATATGTACATTTGATGATGACATATCTTGTTTGTTTTATTTAAAAAAATCTACAATTTTTAATAATTTCATATTTTATTTTATTTTGCAAAAAAAAAAATATAAAAAATAATATAAAAATATTATATTTTTATTCTTTTTCAAATAGAATTGATCGTAAATTTTTATAACAATCTAGTCTCATATTCGCATAATTAACATAATCAAAATCTAATTGTGATATTCGTGCCTGAACTAATGCCCAAAGTCCCCACATTAGCTGTGCAAGAGCAGAAAATTGATCGATAAGATGACATAAATTATCATCAATTATTTGTTGATTCATTCCACGAACTTGAAAATAAATTTCTAACCATTTTTTTTGTTCATCTCGAGTTGGATATATAGTAAAATCTGCATCATCAACACCAGCATATTCAACAAAATGATTTGCAATATCAAATAAAGCATAATTTAAATTTGTATATTCAAAATCAATAAATGATATTAATTGAGTTTTTTCATTATAAATTATATTTTTAACAAGTAAATCATTATGACATAATACAAGATCTTTACCTAATTCAGCATTTGGAATAAGACGAGGAAGAATATGTTCTTCTATTATATCAATATCTGATTTAATAGATGATAAATCAAATGAACTTTCATTAAGTAATTGAATAAATCGACGTAAGACTATAATAATATAAGGTTTTTCAATTTTTTGATATGGTATATTATGAAATTGTGCAAGTTTAGTTGCAATTAGACGCACAATATTTTCTTTTCGTACATCATCTCTTGAACATGGTTTACCTGATGCATATTCATATATAATTCCATTATTAAATTGAATAAGAACACGTTGAGAAAAAACACCGTATTCATATGTTAAACTCATAGCATTTATTTCTGATTGTCGATCAATAAATAATTCTGTTTGATTACCATAAATTTTAATAATTAATGTTTTAGATTGATCATCAGGTGTTCGAGTATCAAAAAGACCGAAGATTATATTTGTTAAACCTTCAGTAAATGTTACTAAACGAGTATTTAATGGAGTCCAATCGGGTCGAATTGAATTAATTAGAGAATAAATTTCAGTTGAAACATTTTGAAAAGATAAACTGACATTTTCTATTATTGGAAATTGTTCCATCCTAAAATAAATAAATACGACTTATTCATTGAAATAATACTTCAAAATTATATGTAGTGAATTGAATATAGGCCATTTACGATTCAATCGATTAGCTTATATTGGCTGTATGAATACGTTTCTTTCTCTTCTAGGCATTTTTATAACTATTTAATTAAACAAGTCATATAGTTTACACAAAGGATAACCTTTTTTTCAATACGTTGTTAATCAATATTCATAGATCTACTCCTTGTCATCGTAAAGTACGGATCAAAGATTATAGAATGATATAAAGACGTTTGTAAAACAAAAAAATAAAATGAAATAGAAAGATATTTTTTGTGTTTAGTAATAAATAAAATTACTACCCTAGATAAATAACGTAGTTTTTTTTATCTCGCTTCAATAAAAACAAGACAACAGTTCTTATCAATAAAATATCTTGATGCAAACATTAATAACAATAAAAACAGTCCAAAGAACAAAGTATCATAAAAATGATTACCTGTATCAAAAATAAAAGCCATTTTTTATTTATTAACATCATTATCTTTAATAACAAGTATTGACTGATAGAAATATTCTAATATCTTCAAAATATAAAACAAAATTATAGAATAGAATTTGAATATGAGTCAAATCTTTGTTATTCAAATTAATATGTAAAAATTTCATGTGACATGAGTATTATATTATTTATTAATGGTCTCATATAAACCAATGAAAAAAATAGAGAAAATATTGTTATAGATGACACGTTTTAAGATAGAGCAAAAAGGAATGATAGAACAGAAAATTTAACTGATGTCAATAATAACAAACGTATGTCTTATGTTATGGGAATCAAATACTAGTATGTCATGCAATTCTTATCTGAATTTGAATCAAATATCAAAAGTGAAATTGAAAAAATTACCTAATCTTAGAGCAGATACGAAGACTTCAACTAAAATACAACATATAATTTTTAGTCAATGTTTTGGACAAATAGAAACATTCATTAGTATGAAAATCAAATTAAATCTAACAAGAGTAATTCGAATAGAAAAAGAATAAAATCGATCTTAATTGTTATTGAAAAATAAATTTAATCAATTAAATTTTTATATTTTAGTATGTTAGATAAACCAAATTCTTCTCTACTAGGCTTAATATGATACGACTGGTAGGCGCCTTTTTTATGTAAAAATAGATCTAAAAACTTATAAATGGATCCATGGTTAATCGATAGTAAATTCTCTCAAAAGGTAGAGGTAATCTAATGTTGTTAATTCTTACATACATTGTATCGAAATGATATAGCTTCGGAAACGTTTTCAAATAAACATTAATATCTATCTTTTTTGATAAATCTGTTTACAACTATTTCACTGATTACAGTTCTTTTCTTAAATATCAACACTGTAAAGTAGTACACCTTATCTGATGCAGAATAAGTATAGCATTTCATTAAAATATTATAAATCTTCTACATATCACAGAAGCATTGATCATCGAAAAGAATTAACGAAGATAAATATAATCAATTTTTTGTTAAAAAAAACCAAGACCTGGAGAAATATGAGAAAAAATATTATAGTTCAATTTCATATTCTTCAGATGTTCTATCCTGTGTATACATAGTTTCCAATTTATGAAGTTCTTTTATTAAGTATTAGACTCTCTCGATTATTGAAAAACTATAATATGATTTTATTATATCGATTGACATTTTTGTAGAATATCAAATATATTTGTGATTTATAAAAGTAATGTTTATTTTAATGTTCGTTAAAACTAAACTACATTGTTTCTGAACTTTTTAGAAGTAAACCATATGGTCTAATTGCTTTCTCATCAAAAACTCGCCATGCCCTTCCAACTTTGACGGGGCTTGCATGTACTGTAAATTTGCCTGGTTGAACTCGACATTGGAATACAACTCGATAATCCTTGCTTGTACCGCTATTATCTTTTATCTCAAACGGCATAGTATAATTGGCAGCTCCTCCTTCACAATGTGTTGCCACATATAATCCTTTTACATCTGGAATCGATGGATTTTGCTGTTTTGCTTCATCTTTCATGGCATCCGTAGTGACAAAACTATGTAACAATCCTTTATCTTTAATACCTTTTACAGCTTTCGATATTGTTCCATGGTAAGCAACAGCCCATTCACCTGGACTATTATTCATACCAAGCCAAGCTTTATCGTTCGGATATTTGTCATCGACTTTAAGGGCATGACGATACCATCCTTGTGGAAAATGATATGGATAACCACCTCTTTTTTCTTCATCAGCATGTGAATAGTAGCGATTGTACTCAACTTCGAAATCTGATTGTTGCAACTGTAAAAACGCAAGTGCTGGTTCCAGTTTATAATCGTATTCTTCTGGAAATAGGTATTGAAAAATATCTGGACGTTGTGCTATTGAAATCTTATTTAGTTGTTGTTTAAGTGATTTAGCGAGTTTTTCTGTTTCATCACGTTGCGTCGTAGTGAAACCAAATTCAACAAGACTTGATGAAGTACGTTTCACAGAAAATACTCGAACAAAATCTTTATCACATCCTACAAGAGAACAAATATCATTAATAAGTCTTAAGACAAAGTTTTGTAATGTTTTAGGTGATGCTATTATATCATCATAATTAAGTGTAAAGTGAAGATCAAATTTAGCAGTTTGATAATTTCCTTCGGACGCGAGCAATGAATGAATACTACCAAGATTGGTTACTCCACATGCAGTTCGATAATCGCTATCATTGTATTTAAAGTTTGCTTGTGTAAAAGTCAGATGAGCACCGAGTTGATAAGCAAGTTCATTAAGAACTACTACAAGTGTCTCAGTATTGTCCACATTAGATAAAAAGGGATTGGCCACAAAGTCAATTGTTTTCGTATTCTGGACCATGGAGCGATAGGTAGACAGACAACTGTATGTACGAACATCCTTAGGAGAATTTTTGTTGTAATTAGCAGGAAAACGAATTTTTTCTGGAGGAATAGATTTCACCGGTTCGAACCATGCAGGTGTTACATCGACAGTAGCTTTTACTGTAGTAACTTGATTAGGTGTAACAATTGGTGTAGGTTTGCTAATAATCTTTGTTGGTACGGAAACAACTGGTTGTGATGGTGCCTTTACATCTAAAACATTTTTGTAGGTTATTGCAACATGCTATACAAGGAAGATTCGTAGAAGTGAAATATGAAATACAATGGAGCTGTATATTCTGTAGATGAAGGGATTAGGGAGTAAGTCTTGTAGTTGACGAGTTATCACTATTGATGTTGATGGCTGCTTTTTTTTAAAACCAACCCGTCATGGGCTGAACGATTTTTTTCTTTGACTCGAGGGCTACTCTACGGATTGAAGAATTACCAACTCGTCATGGGCTACCCGCGGATTTTTACAAACTTTATTAGTATAATGTTTAGTTACAAGTTCATTAGTGTTTTACTGACACATTTGTTTATTTTTAATTATTTGTGAAACCGATATTTTCATAATTAGAATATTATCTTTTATTTCTGATCATACATGTATGTATTACAAAATTTCAATTAAAGTTCACGACAAGAAATAGTTCAGTAAAAGTTGCAGTATATGATCCCTCTAATCAAACTTAGAGAGAAAAGCGCATGTATAACGAATGATGTAACAGTTCTGTATTAATTTTATTTTTAATATAGCTCTGTGATGGAATGTCGTAATGACTTAATCGATTTTTTGTTAGAAAGAACAAAGTGTCTAGTGCGAAAATTCATGAAAGAATTTATTTGGAATTTTTTTTCAAAGACCCGAAATATTTCAAAACAAAAGGCTTTGAAAGACTCTTTCGCAACTTCGGTCATAATTTTTATATCAAAATATATTTCTTTAAGCTTTTTTATTATCCATTTTCGATCTTTTAA